AACTCAGGGCTCTTTTGTAAGTTCCTTTTAATAGTTTTCAATACATACAACAGAAATAGAAGGAAATAAATATATATTCAAGGATTCTACAGTATTCACTGCCTTTACTCACTCAACCATTTCCGTCTCCCTCTGTTTCATTCTCCATCGTTTGGGCTTCTCCTAGTCTACTTAGTTTCTTTAGGATCTTCGGGGTCGTCCTCTTTTCCGCCTTCCTATGGAGCTCCATTTGATTATTCTCTTTATCCATCTGCTGTCGCTAGTTCTTCTTACATGTCCATACCACTAGTCTTTTTTATTCTATGTTAGTATGTCTGCTTCTTAGTAAGATGTAGTAGATGTTATATGCTTTATTTCATCATTACTTCTCCTATCCATTCTTATTACTCTGCAGCATCTTCGCAGGCATTTTATCTATCTCTTCTGCTACTATCTTACTGCTGTTTTTCTTATTTATTATCCAATTTTCAGCCCCATATGTCATAATACTTCGCACTAATGTTTTTTAAATCTGTGTTTTTGTCTTCATATTTAGGTGTCTATCCCACCATACTGAGTTAAGTTGTCGGATTGCTGTTCTTGTTTGTCCTAATCTTCGCTTAATTTCTTCCTTTGTTGTTGCCCTTTTCGTGATTATAAACCCCAAGTATTTGAATTTATCCTTTTCTTTGATTGGCAGAGCTTTTGTAGCTTCTAGAAGTTCTGTCTCTATTTTTAATTTGTACATTGCCTCCCATAGTTTTGACTTTGTAACAGAGTCATACGCCTTTTTATTATCTGGTGTAATTTTTTTGAGCCGTATTTTATAAGCTCAGGTGAGATGCCTCCAGGTCCTGGTGCTTGCTTATTTTTAATTGCTTTTATGGTCTTTCTCATTTACCTATCTGTTATTTCTATTTCTTGTTGTGGGAATCTGCTTCGTCTTCGCCTGTTTTTTTTTTCAATGAATTGTGGTCTTTGTTCTGTTAACAATTCCTTGTAATTAATAGTCCTTCCATTCTTTATCCTGTATATTTCCCAATTTAATTTTTTCTTTTGAGTTTTGTTTCATCCTCTCAGTACTTTCCATGACTCCAAAGTTCGTGTATTATGTATGTTTCAATATTTAAGCAGGTTCTTTCCTATTCTTCTTTCTTTTGTTGTAGAAGGAAATAAAATAAATGCCAAAATGTTCGATACATTTAAAAACTTATAAAACAAAGCAAATATAAATATCGCTCCCTCCCTATTCTCATATGACAAACAAACCTTTATTTTTTGACATACTTCTCTTAAAAACAAAAACCACACATTTTAATCATATAACTTTAAAAGTGGAATGCTAAGTTCAGCTTACTTGCAAAATTTCATCAAAGTCTGTGCGGTTCTTTAAAATTCTGAGGTTTTATTTTACCGTGAATGGACTGATCCATTCTATCAACCACAACAAACATCACAAGATAAAAATAAGACCTATCAATCTATATTTGCTAAAATATATCCAGGCCATGTTGACCTAGTATATATTGTCATTATTATACTCCTGCTCCAGAAGATATCTGACCTAAAATGTAAATGCAAATGCAGGTGAAGTGTTAATTAACAACATCCTGCATAAAATATGTTACACACTCAAATAATTATTAAAATTTGTCAATCCTTTGGAATATTACTCCAAAGGATTTTCAAATATTTTTACTTTACCTTTTCTGGTATACTTCATCTATGAATTATTGAAATATGAATGTGACAGTGCTTGATAGATTCGAGGAAAACTCGAATAGGTGTTGAGAGCCAGAAATATTATTATATCGAATGCTTTTTACAAGAAAAGGTTTCCAATAAGTGCATTATTAAATACATTTAAATATAATCCTGACAATATCGCTACAAAAAAATAGAGAAAGAACGTTAACATGCTTCATAAACAATAATAGTATAGAAAAAGTTGATTTTTTTTAATCACCTATTTCTATGATCTGTGAAAACAAAAAATAACATCCAACAAATTGTAGCCATTATTTTGTTACACATTTGATAATTAGTTGGCACAGCTTAGTCGAAACTATTTAAAAACAATGCCTGCTGTTGTTGGCATTGGTATACAGATTCTAACCTACAAAATTAAACAAACAAACAACATTAAATCTATTTTTTTTTGGGTTATAATAATATTAAATGCATCAAATCGTTACTAGAATACTCATATCACGAACTGCATTATAATACAGTTCTTTTAACATTACGCCATTATTGCATATTTTAAAATTTCATAGACGAGTAATACTACTGGGCATGAATTGGATTTATAAATTCATTGCTTAACATTTCGACCCCTGTGTGTACCCGAAGTGATACATTTTTTGTCAAATAATTTTATTTGAAGAGTTACAAATCGTATTATAACAAACATGTGTAATTTTGCAAAAAACTTATTCAAAAGATCGTGACAAAATCGTATGTACACTCGGTTTGTAACAAAAGTCATTGCCTGGAAGCTATGTAGATTCACCACCATTAGTAAAAACCACCAAAATAGTCATTGCGTAAAAAATTTTCACTTCATGCCTTGCACGATTTTTTACTCTCTTAGATACGTTTCTTCCATTTCTTTTACTAAGTGTTTTTGCGACGCTTTCTCTTGTGTATCCTTCAACAAGTTGGTGATTTCTTTCAAATGGTCTTTCCTCATTTGGCTGTTCTAAGTGATTGTGTTCATCTTCAAAAATTGTATTCATGATTTGCTCTTGAAACGCCGTTATATTTAATTTATTTTTCTCCCTGTTACGATTTGATATGCAATAGATGCATTTACTACTGCTATGTTCACTAGACATTCTATACCTACTTTCTAGTAACACTTAATTCCGCGACAAACTGCTGAGGAATATGACGCTATTTGATCGGAGACATTAATAAATGATTTGATGCTGTTGTATTCCACAATACCAGGTTTTTTCACGATTCCTTTTCTTGTTTCTACATCGGTTATATCTGGGACATTCTGTGTTACCAGAAATAAAACGTCTTTCTTGTTGCCTCATTTTCCTATTTCACTTATTTACTGTATGCTAATCAAACACAAACTGGTTTAACATCTGCTCCAGCATAAGTTTTAACTGAGTCTATAGAGTTTTTATATCTACTATTTATTAGTATAAAGTCTATCTGGTTTCTGACAATGTGGTTTTCTGTATGTGAAGGAGACGTCCATGCTATACTCTTAGGAAGCTGAAACCAAGTATTGGCAATTACCATGTTCTTTTCTTGGCAGAATTGTATGAGCCTTTCTCCTCTCTCGTTTCTAGTTCATAATCCGAACTGTCCAACTATATTTTCAACTGTACCTACTCCAATTTTTGCATTGAAGCTTATCAGCTGTGGGAGCATAGACTTGGATCATATGAATATTACAGTTCCGTGCTTGAATTTTTAGCATTATTATTCTTTCTGAAATTTGAATCACACCTAGCACTGATTTTCTAATAGTGTTGCTTATGATGAAAGATACTCCGTATCGATGATCAGTTTTGTCTCCTTCAGTGTAATAAATATTGTGGTTATTTATTGATGTCTTTCCATTTCCTGACCATTTTTCATCGCTAACCCTAAGTATATCTATATTTAGCCTCCCTTTCTCTTTAATAACATTGAGAAGAGGAGAGAGTGTTTGTTTTTTTTTTTTTTTTGTTTTTTGTGCAATGGTTTTGCATGTTAACGACCGAGAAAACCTTGCGTTCTGATGGTTATCCCCCTGCGGGATTTTGGTCTCCGATTACCATAGTCAATAATGTCTATTGCGCAAATAGTGCTAGCCATTATAATTTATACTAGAGATGTCATCAGGGATCTTTATGCAGTAGTTTCTCTTGCCTTCTGCATGCTGATGCCGTTGACCACTTTCTTGGTTCTTCCGCCTTCGAGACCAACTTCTCAGTCTCAGGACAACAGAGTGTCCAGAGTTGGCTAGTAAATGGTGGATTGCTTGTCCCGGCACCGAAAATTGTGTTACATCTATTGGCGGAGTCCCAAACTGATCCGCCAAAATTTACCCACAAATTGAACCGACCGGTATAAGCATTTTAAGCTTAGATAGTTGTGTTTATATAACGTACACAGCAGATAGAATCTTTGCATGTTCTGCGCCCATATGTAAACATACAGTTTGGGAATAAATACTTATTGTTTACCACTTTTGGTACGCACAGAGATATAAAATTATCTCAATTCTTGTAAAAATGTATAGAATATTATTTGACAAGTAGTAAAGTGTTAAATTCACCAAATAGCTCAGCTGAAGAGATAATGCTCTTAACCTAGGGCTTAACATTGTTAGGCATTACATATGCCCGATAATCACGTATTGCTTTGAAACCTGGACAATGAAACTGATCTCAGAATCGCATAGGGGCTTTTGAAATGTAAACGTTACGGAAACTTCTCCGAATTCCATGGCAGATCACGCCACAAACCAAGAACTACTGCGTCAACTGGGCGAGAACTTTTCCATGCGGTGTAACCGTATCGCGACAGTGGGCGAATACTGTTGATTTTATTGGCAAATAAATTATCCCGTAGCGCCCTTTCAAAGATTTTTTTTAACAATCACCGAAGATAAAATGCATACCCTGTACGAGTTCCTTCTTACATCAAGTACTTCCAGACTTTATTGCCAAACCTTTGTTAGCTAAACAACGTTCAAATTCAATAAGACATGTTTATTAAATTAATAACTTCAAGATTTGTGTGGGTGAAATATAATGAAAAAATATTTTGTAAGCCTAAATATAACAAAAAATAAAAATCATTGTGATAAGAAATAGATGAAACCTTTCGAACACCATCATTGTTGTATTATATTTCTATTGTAATATGGTTTAATCTAACAACATCTTTTCATAAGAAAAACTGTTTTTGTACGAATTCGCATTATTTTCGCTGTTGGAAAACTCTTGCCGACTTTACTCCTTCAAAAGAATCTCTCAGTTTTCTTTTATTAAAAAAATCTTATTTTCTTTTAGGTACAACGGAGCGAGTGTGTCTGATAACCGGCAGCGTGGAAGCAATTATGAACGCCCTTGACTTCATAATGAATAAAATCAGAGAAAAACCGGATTTGGCCAAGAACATGGGCGACTCAGAAAACAAGATGCACGAACGGGAAAGGCACGTTAAGATTTTAGTGCCAAATTCTACAGCTGGTATGATAATAGGCAAGGCGGGAAATTACATCAAACAGATCAAAGAATCCAGCGGGTCATACGTACAGATATCACAGAAATCCAAAGATATTAGTTTGCAAGAGAGATGTATTACAGTTATCGGAGAAAAGGAACAGAACAAACAGGCCTGCATGATGATTATGAGTAAGTAAAATTACATACAATAGTTTTATCTACATTTAGTTTCGAAAATTTAGTATATTCATACGATCATTACAAAAATCAATACACGATACAATGGGACAACATTGTTACCTGACATTTAAAATGAAACATTCAGTAAATGTAAATATATTTGAATATAATTTGGGTAATAAAATAGGTACCTACGTATAGTGTACCAACTGACTAGTTTTATGACAATTTTACTAGTCCATAACCTTAAATTTTCTTAATGTGTCCTTAACCCATTAACACGTTCCCTGCCATGTTGGTCCGAAGGGACCATTGCTGATGTTGCTTCAATAGCCAACGCAAGTTTTGCATTAACAGGCCATCTCGGCCCTATGGGACTAACCTTTATTCCGATATGTACCGAGACGTTGGTGTTTATTTAGTATTAAATAACCACGGGAATGGACCAACGAGGCCTACAAGCCATGTGCTCTATACAGAATTTGTGCGATCTATGGAATATGACAAGTGTGGTCCCATATAAGTCAAAAACGTTATTTACAACTTGGGATAATATTTATTGATACAAACATGTTTTTCAACAACAGAAAAATCAAATAATGTAAAACAACCAATAAAAAAAGTTATTTGACAATCTTAGCTAGTATTGACTGTTGATGATAATCGAAAAATTGTAGTAGATCTTACAGTTTTATTTCATATTATGATTCTATTAACCTGTTCCCCTCTTAAATGTTTCAGAACGAGGTAAACCTATTTTATTTTCTTTATTTATTACACAAATGTTACCATTAAGTTATATTAATGTCATTTTTAGGTAAGATAGTAGAAGACCCTCAGAGTGGCACGTGTTTAAACGTATCCTACGCTGATATCAACGGTCCAGTTGCCAATTTTAATCCCACGGGTTCACCCTTCGCCAATCAGCACTCACCAAATGCTTTCAACGCTTCCACAACGAGTCTTAATGGTGGTTTAAGTACTGCCGTTTCTCAGGGTCTCCTGCTTAATGGCGGACTTAACCTTAGTCTAAATTTGAACACTCCAGGACAGAATATTTCGAATGTTACTGCGCAGTTATTGGATCATATCAAGGTATGTAGATGAATATGTCAACATTTTCTAATATGTTATTGTATTTTGATATTATTCTAATGTATAATAATATTAAAATATCATAAAATAATAATCATATTATTGAAATCATTCTAATCAAAATGTTAATCGTTTGGGCTCAGATAATGTCATATACTCGACATATTTATTGAGAACGAATCTTTTTATCAAATATTGAAACCGTAAGTCGCGTGTATCTAAATATCATAAACATTTATTTATCAAAAGATTTATTGACATTCTATATTGATCATTTAAAAATCACTCAAAAGAGGCTCATGGAACAGTGATGTAAAGAAATGTTGAAAAAATGGGTGATATTTGCTTATGAACTAAAACTACATATTAATCGGTTGTATGTTGTATGGATCCTTAAGATACTTAATCCAAATTCAAGAAAAGTTGTTGGTATAAAATACTTAGAAGCAGATAAATTCCTGTTTCTCCATAAAAACTGGAAATCTTCGCCAAATCCAATTGGTTGGTGTATCACTTTACTTTCTATTAATAGTTTCATTGATTGTTAATCTACTATAAGTGCTTCTCACGAACTTTTTGCAGTGTCCCATTTCTTTCTAATATTCGGATATTTAAAAAAGCATATTGATGTTTAGATATTTTATTGGTTGGCATTTAACCACACCCAGTTCCTAACCAATCAAATCGCTCATACATTCTAACCAGGAACTGCCGTTACGTGAGTGAATGATATCTTAATGCTGTCTAATCTAATATCAAAGAAAGTGAAAAATATGACAGGCAGATTGTAACAAAATGTTGCCTAGGTTGGAGCCAATTAGGAAAGTTGCAAAAATTCTATAACAAGGTGATAAATAAAAATCTAGAAAATTGAAAAATGCGCGACTAAATGAAACAAAGACGCTTAATGCATGGGAGTGATCACTAGAAAACTCAAGAATGGAATTGACCAATTTGTATGCCTGTAAATGAAGTAGAATATTGAACAACGAACAAGACAACAACTTAAATTAAAGTCAAGACAACAAAATAAAAGTAATTGTGAAGAATTCTTCTGAAAGTAAAGATTTGGGCGCCAGGGAAGTACATAGAATAGACTTCGCTAAGGTGTGACCTATATTAGGAAAAGAAATCCTTTGAGTTCCTGTAAAAGAATAAAAAGGGTAAAATTTAATAACAATATGACTAATAATATGAACCCTATTTACAATAAGAAAAATAAATGAAATGCCTTTATTTAAAATCCTCCATCTTTTAAAACTAGTTGACAAAAGATGATTGGTAACATCGCATCATTACAAGATACATAATGAGACTAGAAACAAACTTTAGAAATAAGGAAATAATTATAGGAAAATAGAACAAACTTGGGAATAGAAAGAACTTATCGGAGCACGATGGTAAAGACCTGAGTAGGTGGTTTCATCGCTTATCTGCAGAAATCTTTCGTGCTGCTGTTTCCAAAACTACAATTGCCGTTGTAGCCATCGAAGCAGGCAGCGTGTTTATTATCAAAATATTAACCAGGTATATACATTTCGAAAATTACATTTGCCTCGAAAAGCGAAAAGAATTTTATTCAGTGAGGTACTCACCTACATAATAATTACTTTACAATTCTGAATAAATGTGTCAAATATCTCTCTTAAGTGAGCCAATTAAGAAGCATGGTGAACGGCTCGTATCATTTTGAGAAATGAAAATCTCGTTGTTGGTGCCGAGATCTTGCGCTCTGGCTTAGATTATCTTACCTCTGAACCACCGATGTTTTTTATGTTTTTCACAGAGTATTTTATACAATGAGTTGTAATAAAAATTACATTTTTGTTTTGTTCTTTGTTTTTTCTAAGACCATTGCTAGCAATGTGCTAAATATAATATGCTAAACTTATGAAAAGAATGCTCTTATCTTTTTTTATTTTTTAACATACAATTTAATTGTAAATATTAAAATAAATGTATTAATTTAATTAAATACATCGTCTGAGTTGTTTGAACAATGATTTATTTTTTAAATAGAAAGGCGGTATATTCACACCTTCACTTAAACGATATTAACAAGTAAAAAACACCAGACAGATAGTAAATAAATAAATTGGTATAAATATGTTTTACGTATTTCCATTGCACACTTTGTTAAACATTTTTAGTGCCCAACCTTTTAATTAATCAATACAATCGTCTTACTTGAACTAAATGCAAATAGTATGCTCCGAAAATAAGTGATGACGCATTTACACGGTGTCTCTTTTTGTTGCATACAACTTACCTTTTTATATTTACGTTCTGAGGGCATGCCTCTTTCTTATATTTTAGTCCACGTGCGGTATTCCTATATAAACATAATATTTAAATTAGACGTGACACAAGCAATCAGTTTCAGAACTTACAATGAAATAAAAACTTATGATGTATGGGGTATATATTTTTATTAAATTCAAATGATCTCCAAAATGTTTTCAGCCCGGCCTGATCGGACCGGGCCGATCAGTGAAACATTTTAGAAATAAAATGAAAAAGACAGCAAATATTTGATTTCACGCAAACAATCCCTATATATCTGTTGATACGTATTTCGACCTAATAGGTCTCATCAGAACAGCTATTCATAGGAGTTCTCAACGTGAAAAATCAATATTTTCTCTCTTTTCAGGAGCAACAATAAAATAGCTTCAATACGGACGCGATAGCGACATCTAATTACAAAATCCGTAAAATAGTTTCGAAACACAATTCAGATTTCTGCTTATAATCTGAGCCTTCTAAAAATTGCAAGACAAACACGTTGATAAAAGATGTTAAAAGTGGTACTTAACATCTTTTATCAACGTCTGTTTTCCGATGATCTGATTCCAAAGGATCTGTAGTTTCTGTAGTTGGCTGTATACCATATATTAAAAAATTTATTAAAAATCCTTTGTAAAAGGTAAATATTTAAAAACCCAAACGGGCTAAGTTAGACAGACAAAACGTTTTCGGAATCAATATTCCATCATCAGTGTCTAGGAGTACATAAATGTAACCACTAAATATATGGTAAAAACCCGTTAACAAATAATTTATTACATTTAGTTTACAAAATTTCTTATAATGATTTAAGATGTTAAAGTTACCGGTGGATTAGGTAACATGGCGACATATGACTCCACGTTGAAGTTGCTAGTCCTGAGACGGTGTGTCTACGAAGACTGTATGGGAGCAACAGTCATATGTCGCCATGTTACCTAATCCAACGGTAACTTTAACATCTTAATTCATTGTTCTGAAGCTATTTTCTTGTGGCATTGTAAATTAATTACTATTAAACTGGGAATAAGCCACAATTAAAGATAAAAATACGTTTATTGACGTTTCATTGTCATCATGTCATGTGTTTGTCTTTTTAAAGACGAATTACATGCTATGATTTTTTTCTGACGGATATTCTCAAGTTAAAGTTGATTTCATGTAATCGAATGAACTATCTTATAAGTAAAGTCGTCCCAGGAGCGCAACTCAACAATATTGGCAATATCATTTTAAAGTCGTCTTCTTTAAAATGCATAATGTATGTCTGAATTGTCAATATAAATGAGTCAGATAAAATTAAATTATTAGAAGAATTTTTCACTATGTAACAAAAAAAACAAAATTTGTTTAATTTACTATTTGTATTTTGAGAACGATTTCCGAAGTGGAAATTGAAACGTCAATAAACGTATTTTTATCTTTAATTGTGGCTTATTCCCAGTTTAATAGTAATTAATCTTAAATCATTATAAGAAATTTTGTAAACTAAATGTAATCAATTATTTATTATCGGGTTTTTACTCATATATTTAGTAGCTACATTCATGTACTCCTAGACACTGATGATGGAATATGGATTCCGAAAACGTTTTGTCTGTCTAACTTAGCCCGTTTGGGTTTTTAAATATATACCTTTTACAAAGGATTTTTAATAAATTTTTTAATTTTCAGTTACAGAAACTTTTTAGTAGTGAAATGTTCTGAACTTGCTATGGTAAATGTCAATTGTCAAGAAATATTAAATCAAATAAGAGTATAACGTATCCCATAATGTCATAACTAATTTTGACTTATTTATTTTAGATGCAATTGAGGACGTCCGGTCTGGCCGATTCCCAAATAGTTGAAATTTGTGCTGCAATTGCCGTTCTGGCCAAATATGGAGTCATATCCGTTGGATTAGGTAATTCTATGAATTATTACAGAAAATAATTGTTAGTCAAATTGTGAATAAGCCCTTACACGGGCGTAGTGTTGAGTAAGTTGTGGTTATATTTTTGTTTTCAAGTTCTATCGATGTTATTCATTTTTATCATTAAGATTCAGATCGCATCTTTCAATTATATGAAATAAGACAATGCGCAGCCTATGAAACAATTAACAGTTAAACGTATTTTTCGTTTTAGTTTGTTCTACCTCATATATATTGATTGGATGTGCGATCGTTATTGAGACATGTTACCATTCGTATGTCTGTTGAACGAGGGCGTAGATAAAAAACAATTATGTTGTTAGATTTTATATATTGTTGATTAATGTCCCAATAATCATTCACTACCTCAAATAAAAGAAATTGTTATGAACAATATGTATAATACTATGTAATAATTTTGGTGTAGACTTAATATGTCTGCATTTAATGAATTTGACTGAACTACGGGTTTTCTTAGTACGTTATTTATTATTTATTGTATGGCTTTATACACATTATAAAATTCTAATATATTAAAGTAAAATACACAACAAAAATTTTACTTCTTTAGATATTCGAGAGCTTCTTTCGAAGACAACAGTAAATCCTTGCGATTGCCTTCATATGCGATGATTTGTTATTCGTCCACATGTTTTACCATCAGTCTTGCAGCACCACAGTCACACATGGGAGATGGTAGCTTCCCGCACTTGTTTACGAAATTCGCACATTTCTGACCGTATTTAGACACACCCTATGTCCATGTTTTCCTTAAGAATTCAAAGCCAGGTGGTTTCTGTATGATACATGGTAGGTTCTGCGCTTGAGGAGATGATTTCTGAGCCCATTCGTTCTGCCAGGAATTGGCAACATTGAACTTTGTCTCGGATTGTTGTTTGGCTGTAACTTAGGGCGCATGCCTGGTCTTTAGTCTTTACAGCTTAAGGGCTATAATGCCTTCATGCATTGCTGGTGTTAGTTCCTGGTGATTTTTTGATATTCCCTTCTAAGAGCATGTTTTCTTCGAAGATCTGGTGGAAGGATATAGCATAAGATATATGCCGGTGATGATGCCGGTGATAACCCCAGTGACAAACCCAGTGCAGATATTCTCGAGAGTCTCGATGGAATCCAGGTAGAGTCACACACATGGCTTATGGAGCATATTGTTTCTTGTTATAAAGTTTAGCGGAAAGTTTTGTTATGTTCTTTGAACCTCAACGTTATGTCTAATGTGACACTCAGGCACCTCGGAAATTTGTTGTAACAACACGTTGGGTTTCGAAGGACACATTGAATTCTTTTCTTGCCATATTGTTAGATGGAAACAGCATGCTTCTGTATTCTTTGCAGTTGACTGCAGTTTCCATTTAGGAGACTGCAGTCTCATAAATAATAATAAGATATTATTCTCTCTTAGAATGTTTTACATGATAGTAAATTTATCTTGCGACTGTGGCGCCATTGGGCGGTGAGGTTAAGTATTTATCAGTTCGTCGTTGTATATGCAGTAACTGACTTGCGGCTGTCACTATTTTTTAATTCCGAGCTCTGATTGGTGGAATAACGCAAACATTGTAATGCAGCTTTACACGGGAAAACAAAATTTATACAATGACATTCAAAATTAAAAATAGTAAATTGTATTAAGATGCCACAAGAAAAAAGCATCAGAAAAACGACATCGTCGCTTCAGTCTTTTGTAGATATCGTTTTGTAAGCATGGCCATGGATCATTGGTGCTTCCAACAGTATATTTGCAATAACACAGTATATCCTGATCACTCATAGGAGCATATAGCGAATTAAGATGAAAATGGGTGAAAAATTACGTCTTTTAATTAAAAATAAGATATTTGGCATTTTCAAAATAATATTTTTAAACCATATTTTTGTTTAGCTATTTTAGAAGTAGTGGGTGTTAATATAAAATTAGTTCTATATAAGTTAAAAAAAGATCATTCCAAATTGCTGCTTAAATTAAAAATAAAGTCGATCGGAATCCATATGTCCACCATAATTTTTTTCCGTACCAACGCTATGATGGGGGGAGTTCATGAACAATGAAGAGGGTGGACTAGGGTAAATACAATTGTGATATTTATCTATTAATTGAAAACATAATGTAATATTTTAGGTAGATATCTCGCTGATTTTGTAATATCCACCATATTTTTTTTCCGAACCTGTATATGTACTATTTAAAAACTTACCCACATTTCTTAATGAATTTTTAATAATTTCTTTTCCTTGTCTTTTCATTTTTTTATTTCATTTTGCTTTTAAATTAAAAAGAGCGTCTTGAAAAAATTCATCTCCAACACCCCTTGAAACATCTACGTCTGTGAATAAACTGTAAAAAATGGTTGTGATTTATTAGCCTTCATTTCATTATGTATTGTTCGTGCGTTTTACATTAGATTAAGTTATCTTAATCCTAATGTCGTGAAAAGGTTCTAAAACTATCTTCTTGTGGCATTTTTCAGTTAGATATTATTTGTCAACAATCGTATTTATATATAATCAATTGTGGTTTAATCCGATATAATACAATATCTATGTGGCTGTGGTATCTTTATTGTTTGTGTTCATTCGTTGCAATTCGTTGATAAGCGTATCGCAGTCGGATCATGTCCATCTAAGAGACATTGAGAAGGTGAATTATTATTTTCAGAAAGCAGTATTTTAAAAAAGTTATGTTAGTTATGAATATTACGTAAGTCTGTATGCAGGCATGTGTAAAATATTCGGGAGAGATTTCTGCGTTTAGTAAAATCAATAATAATAATGATCAATGACAATAAATAGTTTAGTAAAATAATAAATATATATTATTAAACTCACTCAGTTCCCGGATTGAACCGCAGAGAATTCTTTTAAAGGAAGTTTCGACACCTTCTTTGGAGTCTTTATCAGAACATATTTCGCGAGTATCCTAAATCCCCAGCTCACCTCACGGGTACTACTGCTGTTTTTTCTTCTTCAGGTGGCCTGTCGTCTGTGAACGTTGGCTATTAATATGGCAATTGTGATCTTGCTTACGGCAATTCTGAATAGTTCGATCGATGTAAGCCTGAAATATTCCCGCAGATTTTGGAGCCACCAGTATTTTCTCCTTCACGATTCCGTCAGCGTCCAGACCTCCACACTATATATTACATATTATGTCAAGGTATACGTAAGATTCTACATGGTCAATCAGTATAATGTTTATCCATAACTGTGTGTAGGTTATTGCTATTTGCTTATCAGCATTCATTTTGTCTTATTAATGTTGAGGCTGAGGCAGTTGTCCCCACAAACTATATTAACCCTCTCCATTGTCTGTTGTAATTCACCTATGCTACTACTGGCATCGGCATATGCTTTTGGTTAACTCACCGTTTATTTTTATGCTCTCTTTTACATTTTCCAGATGTTCTAAAACATTTACTCTGAGTAGATAGTGAAGAGGAGTAGTAATAAGATACACCTCTGTCAAATTTTGTCAAATGCTTTTCTAAAATCCAAAAAGCACAAATAAACATTCGTATTAACGTATATACTCCGCTGCATAGGCACCTGGAGAGCGTGCTTCAACCAGAAAACTGCTTCTCTAGTTCCAAGTGCTTTTCGAAAACCAATCTGTGATCTACATATCAATATTTGACTTACATTTATCATATATTCTTCTATAAATAATCTTGTTTCTCATTTGTTTCTTCGATATTGTAACTAATTTCTACTGCGGCTAGTCCTCCGGTATTTTTCCGCTATTATAATATGCTGTTAAAAAGTGCAATTCGATTATCAATGATTGTTTGTCTGATTTACACAGGATATTTAGTATTTCGCGGTGTTTCATTGCCCGGACCTGCTGCCATGCTGCTATCTGTGTTTTAAGGATAGAATGCCCTTCCATACTCGTTTATCTAACCATTATTCCTGTCCGATGCAAATAATTTTTCTGTGCAGGATTCCCATGTTTCTAAGATCTTTGATGGCTCCGAGATAAGATTTCCATCACTATCTTTGATGCTGTTGGGTGACTTATTGAATTCGTTCTTGTACTTTTACTATTTACGTTCGTATTATTCTATTTCCCTGCATTCATTGGAAAACTATTTTTCTTTGGATTCTCAGTTTTTGGTCTAAAGATTTTATAGATTTGCTCTCCAAATTTTTTTTCCTAATTTACGTCCTTTATCTATCACATCCATAGCTCGAGAGTTTCTTAACGAAGTAAGTTTGATTGATAGAATAAACGTCTCCTGATTCCCTAGATCACTTCACTGCCACAATCACTACCACTATACAATGCACTACTGTTCTTACTAAGCCAAGATATTACTTTCATACCGTTGATGCTGACGTGGTATTGGGGTTGGTGGTGGAGCAAAGTTTCTTTCCACACCGAGATCGATTGGTAGAACAGACAGTAGTTTATTGTTTCTTTAAATTGAAGGTGATTGAAAGCTGCTGTTGTTGTGTTAAGACATTTGGTGATTTTTCAGTTTCAATGGCTTCGCCGAGGATCATTGGTTCATAAAAAAGGATTTTTTCTGCAATCGTGGATTTAATTATATTCTATATTGTATGTAACTCTATATCCTGGAATTTTGAAAATCTATTTAATAGATTTGAACCTGAGCTTGTTTGAAGATAATGGTATGGTAGGACAGAAATTGAATCTGAATTACGGACTAAAATGCAATGTTCATTAATTCTGTTTAAAATTCTTAGGTTGGTTTGACCTCTATTAGATTTCGGACAGTCTGCACCGAAAATTTCATAAACTTCGTGTTATTCACTTGGAATGTTGTTTTTGACAGATCTGTCAAAAAAAAATAAAGTTTTTGATTCTTCTATATATTTTATAGAGTACTCAGTACGTACGCTATCGATTAATTATTAATATTTTAGTTGAAGTTACATAAAACGTCTTGAACAGTCTTGAATATAAACCAATTTTTTAATTTTTTTAGGAACCTTATAATGTCGCAGGTCAAGTTGACTTTAAATTAAATGTAATTTTCAGTTACAACTGTTAAAACTTTTGTATATACAATTTTAAAGAATGAACTATAAAAATGTTCAGTAGTAGCTAAGCTGATTTTTAGTATTTCTATCTACGTCCTTGGTGTTGTATGGTATAAATATTATAATACTTTTTATGACAGTTGTTAAGAGAGTTAGATTTGTTTCATTACATTTTAAATGTGTTCATCTCATTGTCATTACATGTTGCATTTTATTAAACCATCATTACTCATTTATTCGTTTTATTTCCATTAGAATCTTTGTAGATGTAGTAAATTTAGATCATATTAGTGCTTAGTGAAGAAGTAAGTATGCATTTTTTCCTCTTTAAATCCGCCGTACATGGTCAATGAGAATTCTACTTAGTCAATGAACATTAACTGCCAAACAGCGACCGGAAAAAACTCTGGATCCAAACAGAATATAAAATATCCAATCATGCAAATGCCAAAATGTATATTGGACGCACATCGCCAATAAGGCAGCTGCATATAATGGGACTCCTTCATGGATACTTGCTGAAATAATGAAAACAAATGATCTGAATCAGTCAATATGTCTGCATTACTATGGCACTAGATCGCCGGCGAAAATATTTTTGAGATGCTACCAAGGTACTCCACAAACTTACGATACCCATCCACTAGACCTGTACAAGCTGGTATAGAGTTCTGATTAATTATAGACATCTTACCCAAAAGGTACCTCCTTACAAAAATTGTAATTTAATACACATATTTAGTTTTATAAATCCCTAGAGCCCTGAAAGATCTAAAAAAGTTTTCGTTAACGAACTATCGAAATCTGTATTGTTATTTTTCCTTTAACCAGAATCGTGAAGTCGTCTAATACGTGTAGGGATAATACATTTAATATTTTTCATATCCTTCTTCTTCCTTCTTGTATGTAGGCTGTAAAGCCTGTTTCTTCTTCAATATTAGCCTCCTAAACTGTTTAAATTATCGCACCATCTTTTTCTTGGTCTGCCAATACTTCTTCGTCCATTTGGTGACGTATCTCGTGCTATTCGTACTATCCTATCCTTTGCCATTCTACTAATGTGTTCGTGCCACTCCTGTTTCCGTTTTGTCTTCTCTCCCTATCCAACAGACTTTTCTCTGATGTGTCAGGTCTTGTCTCCGCCGTGTATGTTAATATAGGTCTAATTGCTACTTTATAGATTCTTCTTTTTGTTTCTTGTCTTGTCTCTGTTCTTCCAGATTGGGTCATTAAGAGATCCCACCGCTTTACTTGCTTTTAAGCTTTGTTATCGTACTTCTTCTTCAATATCTCAGTAACTAGTTATATCTGTTCCCAGATATCTAAATCTTGATTCCTGCTTTATTATTTTCTTATTAATTTCGATTATACATCGTAGTGTGATTTAGATTATGTCATACATTTATTTTTTTTTCTGCTGCTATTATCATATTGTATTTTTTGGCTGTATGTGTGTTAATCTTTGGAGATCGTCTTCTGTCTCGGAGATTAATGCAGCGTCGTCTGCATAACATATTTTGATTTCTTTGTTTCCCATTCTGTAGCCATGACCTTTACCTACTGCTTGTATTATTTCGTCAATTATATATTAAAGGTAAGTGGGCTTAACGAGTCACCCTGATAATGACATGCTTTTTAGTCGTTATGAATATTTAATGAATTTGTTTTTAATTTAGAAGTTCACATTCTTCATTAATTTTTGTCTTTCGGAAATTCTTCGTCATTTAGTAATTTCCTACATTCACTACTGTCCCAACTATAAGGCAACGCTGTGTGAAAATAACAATGTCAAATTGGATGACTTATAAAGGATTTAAGGAAAAGAGAACAACAACTTGTTCAAGAAATTAACGGATAAGTTAAGAAGTAATAAAAAATGACTATTTACACTTTAAATCACACACTATACTATATGAATGATTTGGGAAATCACTTAGGAAGTTAAATGACATTTGGAAGAAATATTCCCTTGCATAACTTCATACCTATATAAATTTCATTCATAATATATTTTTTTGTTTGCTCAGCTTTTCTCCAAAATCATTACTTGTTAAAATTATTCCACTATTCACAATCTACAAAAGAGCATTGTATATATTCTGATGCTTTGTCTGTATCTTCCCGTTTTCCTACTACTAACAGAACACCGTAATTGTGACCTTGTCCACATTGTGATCCACAGCATTGTCGACTGCGTGTTTTAAATTATATGTTCTCCAGTATTCTGGCAAAGAATATTCCACTTTCATAACTAGGTTTTGAATAAATTTTTTTCTGTATCTTCTTTTGAATATTTCAATGACAGATTGATCCATTGGCTGTATCAATGATGTTACAGGCAGAAAAGAGCACGTGATATTCGGCTTCAGGATGGGCAGGTGCAATATCCAAAATGAGAATCACCTTTGGTGATTTTTTGCTTGCAAGTATTGTCGAACGTCCGGCATAAAAACCGAAAAAACAAGACGTTAGAAAAATAGATAAACAAATTTTGGTTTGCTGTACATACCTCTTTGAACCAGTCAGCGAATATTTCCTGGGACATCCATGAATTATGTTGTGCGTAGTAGTTCAAGGAATAATAAAATCTACTACCCCTAAAAAAGTAACCAAAGTAATCAAAAACAATATGAATCCCAAAACAATATGAATCTGGGATTTGACTTAATAACAAGACTACAATTACCTAGGAAGGTCATCGTAAAACTCATAAGACTTATAAATGCAGTATTCTGGTTATAATATGTACGAATAACACGGACACAGCTGTGAACTAATCATTCTAAACTTTCCCAACCAGGAAAACAAATAAAATAGAATCGTACAGACTAATATCGTTGCTAATATATCGCATAACAAATAATATTATAGAGAGATCTCTAGAAGAGAATAAATATGCTCAACTATTTTCCTAGACATAGAAAAAGCAATCGATAAAATATGGCACAAAGGTTTGTTACTAAAACTCAAAAGATGTCTTTCAATCAACTATACCTTCCAATAGGAAGGCGAATATTCAGAACTACGAACAATCAAAGCAGGAATCCCACAGGGGTTTTTTGCATATTGTATTTATCATATAATTACACATACTATATTTATTATGTGCCTGTGACATCCCTGTTACGGACAATATTAAACTGGCCACACTTACAATGTAGTTCACAAAATAAGCACTAGGAACAATAAATGGCGCATAAAAATGAATGAAGGTAAATCTGTCCAAATCAATTTCACAAAAATAAATAATCACCCAGTTAGATTAACCAATAAAATCGTCCTGTACAAGAAAACAATTAAATATCTAGGGCTACATTTGGATAGCTAATTAAAGTAGCCGAACGTATTAGAAAGAAATCTAAATAAATGATACTGAAATTAAAAAAGTTATATTGGTTATTAGGTAGAAGCTCACAACAACTGCTAGATAATCAATACCTAGTCTACAGACTCAAACGCAATAAACATTTCGAACTTCTGATAGTGATGTGAATGTATAAATGTCAGTTTAAATTCGGGCAGTGAAATTAGCCTCAACAGTGAAATGTGCAACAATTATTTGATTCTAAGGTGATCCATTGAAATACCTAGCACAGTAAAGTAGCAGATTAGGTTAAATATAAAATGATGGTTAATCATAGGATTAGGTGCATATATCTATAAAAAAAGCTTCGGAAATCGTACTCAAAATATTAATAGTAACTTAAAGTAAAAAATGATTCACATACAGTTTATTAAACTACATCAATTAAATCAAAGGATGACATTTTAAATGTTTTTCTTTCTTACTTGTCTTCCATATATTGGGGGAGACCTTCTTTATCAACTTTTCTGTCCACAGATCTACATCTGCATGTTTTTTGTATATTTCGTTAAATAGATGTAAGCAATCAATTTGTGGATATCACAAAAACTCCCGGGGGGCTCCCGAGGAGTGAAAATAATACCCAAAATAATAAATACATATTGTAAAAAATAAAATATTAACTTCTTCTGCTTCCAAAGAAATAAACAAAGGAATTCTTAAAACCTTTGAGCCTGAGAGCCTCACGCCGCTCACAGAATCTCAGACATTACAGAAAAACGTAAAAAATTAAAAGTTAATATAAGCTAGATATCTATATTATGACATTTAAAACAATGGGTGTGTGATGTAAGAATTTTTCTTCAGGAATTGGTCAAGCCCATCCAGGAACCTTGCCAAATTATTTGAGTGTTATGGAAGGAGCTGCGCCAAATCCAGGTGCAGGAGTTTTTGGAGCTATCGGTCAGGTTAGCTTAGGAGATTGTTTAGGTAAGTTTGGATTTTCCTATCGTATAAATCTAGTTTGCAAATAAAACTTTCAAACCTGTTTAAATTTGTGTTAAAAGTATACATTTAAATAACTATAAAACTTTTTTGACACTGTTTTGACTTTATAAACGAAAAAATATGTTTAATGACATTATTTGAAATTAATATTTTAAAAAGAGAAATATCAGCAGATAGCAACATAAACATAAAATACCTATGGTAATTCGTTTCGTAAAAGACAGCCTACTTACTGTTCAACTGGAATTGAACATGTTGGAACCTTGTAATTCTCAGTCAGTAATGCAACCAGTACTACTTAATTTACCTTACCTAAAATTCCGACATAGTTTTAATATCCGATAATATCCAAGAACTAAATGATATGTTACAACAATAAAATGCAGTTTCAGGAGCGGTAGGTTTAAAAATGAACTACAGCAAAACAAAAATACTGAGCCGAGACCAGACAAATATAATAATACAAAATCATACCATAGAAAATGTTGAACATTATGTATATCTAGGTCATGTTATCAAACTAGAAAAACCAAATCAAGATGCTGAAATTAAAAGAAGAACACAACTGGCATGGCAAACTAGCATATATCTTGAAAAACATCTCCATTCCTGTAAACTTAAAGAAAAAGGTGTATAACAAATGCATACTACCAGTTTGTACCTAAAGGTTTGGAGACAGTAGCCTTTACCAAAAAGTCTGCTAAAAAATTAGAAACAACTCAAAGAGCAATGGAACGAATCATGCTTGGAATATCATTGAAAGACAAGATTAGAAACACCGAGATAAGACGTAGAACGAAGATTAGGGATATTGTGGAAGAAATTACAAAATGAAATGGCGCTGGGCAGGTCACGTAGCCTGATATAATGATAACAGGTGGACACGGAGAATTCTAGAATGGAGACCAAGGACGACAACAAGAAGTATGGGAATACCTCAAAAAAGAGGGGTAGATGAGATGACATAAGAGCAGTGGCAGGCAAGCAGTGGATTATATTGGCGCAAGATAGGGAAAGATGGAAGCAATTGGGAGAGACCTACATTCAGGAGTGGATGGAAAATGGTTGACAAAGAAAAAGAAGAAGACCTAAAATTCATCGTTTTTAAATCACCAGATGTTAGTCACCATTCTCAGAGTCACATATTTTCTATTATATCAACTAGTTGCAAAACTATTCGAAATATTAATAGAAAGAAAAATCAGGATGGAAATAGAACATAAACTAGAGGATATACAAAGCGGATTCAGAAAAGGACATAACACACAAGACCATATATTCACAATGAAACAGGTAATAGAGGTATATACGTAAGTTTAATAGACATGGAAAAGGCATTTGATTCCGTGGAAAAGAAAATTATAATGGAGAGTCTGAAAAAAAAACAAGTAAGCGAAAACCTGATAGAAGCAACTAAAAGTATATATATGAAAACAATATATACAATAAAAATACAACGCAAGGGGTTAGACAAGAGGGTAGTTACTAAGCACAGTACTTTTTATAAATGTAATAGAGAGATAATGAAAGAATGTAAGAAATCCTTTAAAAAATACTCTATAAGATGGAATATAATTCCAATGATAAATGCAGAGATATGCATATTTGTAGATGATAGTGTTATTCGCCGAAACAGCAGGAAATTTGAGGCACAATGTAGAAAAATGGAAACTCGGAAGCAAAAAAATACAACCTAAATGTAAATAAAAGGAAGACATAGATAATAAAAATAACGAGGAAAAAACAAGGATGACCAAATTGAAGTGGTAATAGATGCATAAATTAATAATAAAGCAAACAAACATTTATATAAATACCTGTCCTGGGAACAGTAACAAATAACAGAGAAGCATCAAGGATGATTTCATCAACAGACTAGAGAGTACAGGAAAACTATTCCAGGCTCTAAATAGAGGATTTCTTAACAATAAAGAAATATGACGAAAAACGAAGTTGACAACATATGAAACAATATATAGGCTGGAGCAGAAAATTTGATATTAAACACCAGAGTATGATACAAGCAGCAGAGATGAAATACCTTAGAAGAACGATAGTAACACAAGTGTTTATTATATAAACACGTTTTGTGAGACGCTTACGGTGACGGTTAAATTGATATCTAGCATATCTGGTCATTGATTAAGGTTATCGAAGTTAGCAAGGAACGGTAGTTATCGGTAATTTCTAAGTCACTGTGATTAAATCACCAGCAGCGAAATTACGTCCTATTACTAGAGTGTAATGCGGATTTACCGACGATACAGAACAATGAGTCGTTGTATGCAATACGTTCGCTATACCACATAGATGACAGAATTGAGGTCGATACAATATGTAAAAGACCTGTAGGCGTATTTTTTCCTTTCATATTGTTTATTTACATTTTTATTTATTATATTTTATCTTTATCATTTTTTCAATTCTTACTTTATGCACCATTTATTTTTTTATTTTCGTCAGATAATACGGAGGATTTTTGCACCTGATCTATAATGCATTCCAACAAGTAATGCACCCAATATAAATAAAATTTACTGAAATGATATTTCTGTAATGCCTTTAATAGAGGGCGGCCTATTAGAACACTAGAAAATATGTATGCCATTGTCTCTAAAAATCTGTCTTCGTTCGCACTACGACATGACATGTTTTGGCTTTATCGAAAAATGATGAATTAGAACCGAAGAAAGACTTGAAGAGGGAAAGGCAGGATCCCTAAGTAAATTTTAATAAGATACTTAAGCTCTTAAATAAAGTGGCACTTTGATAGTTTTGTGGAATTTTGAAATGTATACAAAGTAAATAAATATGAGCTAATTTTGTAATATTGCATTTCAGGTGCCAATACTGCTGCTCCACGATCTAGTTTGGAACGGTATGAATCTGCGTTTGACCCTTTTCGGCATCAGGCCTCGGCTGCTACGGCGCCTATTTCTTTAAATAATAATAGTTTCGGTTTGGGTACGGGCCAGCAGATGACTGTACTGAGCAAAAGTCCCACTCCTGCTGAATTAGGTGGCCCCAAAGATTCGAAAAATGTTGAAATTGCAGAAGTCATAGTAGGAGCAATTCTTGGTAAGTTTTTGTCAAGAACATATCCTTAACTAAACCATATTCAAACTGAAGCTACGAACGGTGTAAACCATGGACGTAGTGTAAACAAATTCATGCTGAAAACACGCATTTGTTCAGGGCCGTACTAGTAAACTAAAGGTACAATATAAAACTGTTTGTTACTTGTAGATCTCTGACATATACAGATTATAGTACACCAATTGTTTAAGTTTAAAAATCATTTAAAATTTCGAGAGCTATTAACAACAAAATAAAGTATACACAAAAAAAAACAAGTTTACAAAATTACCGTATTTTATCTTAACTTTCAGATTCTAATGTATTGTTGTTAACATTCATGTTAATAATGAAAGGCTTAATTTGTGCTTCAATCAAATTGCTCAACTCCCACATTTTTGGCTCCACTTCTTCTTTTACATGTTTGATGCAATCTTTCCATTTTTCCATGATTACAGCAGACATAGCATCATGGAATAATTTTTTAATGTCAGCAAATTTAAATGTTGTGTTGTTGACTGCAACATAATTCTTGACTTGCGCCCATACAAGCTCGATTGGATTAGCTCGCAGTGGTACGGTGGCAACCTTAAAACTATTTTATTTGTTCTTCTTACCAAATCATCTACTATGTACTTATAATATTCGCATGTATGCAAATATTAAGTTGTTTAACAATTTCTAAAAGTTGTACTTTTAATAGCGTTTATGCAAAGGGAATGTCTTTTGAACGAAGAGAATTTTAAATGGTAAGGAGCATTGTCCATAACAATTACATTTTCTTTCAGTATTGGTAAAATCTTTTGGAGCCAACTTTTAAATAACTTCCCATCCATCTTTTCCTGGTAGTCTCGACTTTTGTTTGATTCAAAAGCATTTACCTTTTCCTAATAAAAGTTATATCAAATATAATAATTAAAAAATTGAATGTTTATTTTAATTTAAATTACCTGAGGGATTTCTTAAGCCGGTCGACAGCCCATTCAAAAAAGCACTTCTTGTAGAATTCACAGAAGCATCCATTTTGTATGGCCAGTATTTATCCATGTCTCAGCTAAGTAATAAATTGTTCTATTTTCAATTCTATATTGTCATATCTTTTGCATATAATTACTTTACCTTAGCACAATTTCATTTTTGTCGGGTATCATGAGAACTGTTTCTTCCATTGTTCTAAAGCTATTTTCTTGTGGAATTTTAAATTAATTACTATTTAACCTTTATTTTAACCTTTAATTGTGGCTTATTATCTGTTTTTTCCATGTTTTTAAAATTTAAAATTTAATTTTCGTAAGAATTTGTAAAACGAGGTTTTCTTAAAATTTGGCAAGTCATTATCATTTATTTAAATCTTTTATGACTTTGTCAATATTGTGGGAATTTCATTACGAAAAAAATATTGATGAAACTTTCTTCTTGTCAAAGTCATCTACAGCATCTATTTATGTTGAACGATTTTCGTTTGTTTTTGGTAGATAATGTGTGGGTACTTTTATATTTTTAATGACATTGAAAACACTTTTCGAACAAACTCCAACTTTATGTACAACCTTTTGTTTAATGTCCGTGTAACGCTAAAGTAGAATTAATCATTATTTCTTTGGTTCTTATATCTATGCGATATTTTTAACCCATTTCCTAGGAGCACTTAGTGCTAAAAGTTGCCCCTTTCCATCCGCAGACTCCGTATCAGACATTTTTAATAAATGTAATTGTTATACTTTTTCCAACTAAAAAAAAATAAAAAAATATGCATTTTTGTATTCATTATAAATAAATAAGTTCTTAAAAAATCCTTTCGCTATATCAGCACACGACCTATCGATTAGAAAATCCAGAAAACAACAGTTTTGCACAAGTGACTACTGTGACTCGCCATTCGATGGACCAAAAAAAAAACAAAATGCCTTCTGTTAACCCAAGCTATATGGATCATAACTTGTGGCCAATTGCAATGTGTTCGCCACGTGCTGATTGGAATATCACGCGATGACTTCTGTTTATTCTGTCGGTAGCTTGACGTTGAATTTACTGTACAATTAAGTAGCAAATAAATGTAAGGTAGTAAATGACAAATGAATAAATAAATGAATATACGTGATAAAAAAAAATATAGATTATAATATACACATGAAAAGTGTTACATAAAAGATACCCAAAGAGCTGACAAAATCTAAGAGATTATAGTCTTGGTATGGCTTCAGCGTATGCCATGCTTCGTTGGGACGAAATTCCGTGTTTGACATTACATTACAATTACATTTACAGTTACGGAACAAATTACATTTTTAAGATTTTTAATGGATTAAACTTGACCAACTGGAAAACGATTAAGATTACCAACCTGGAAAAACAAGGCGAAGAACAGAACAGAATGGCGGAAAATCCAGGACAAGCCAAGACCCAGAAAGGGTTGTCGAGCTGCTAATGATGATGATGATGATGAATGGATTAAACTTGACCCTTAGCATTATCAACGATATGTGAAACAGGTTTCCTGGCAAGATAATAATTTAGATACTTATTTAGATACTTGGACACTGTATTCCCTTGTTTGGCTAGCCATTTAATCTTAATATAAACTTTCATTCTCGTTATAACTCCTTTTAAAGGATCTGTCGATTAAATTTGACTGACAAATTAACTGCTCTTGGCATTACTTAACTGTCCACTCCACAAAGAGTTTCGTTTTCAACAAGAAGTCGTCGGACTTTTTGCTATATTTTAGAAATTGTACCGACTAGGTTTTTGCAACGGAAAAGTGAGGTACTAGGTAGTTTTCAACTAGTTATTTAATAAGATGAATTTTCTACCGGTCTCAAGCCGTACTTCAGACCTACTTGCGTTTAAAGGATTATCTTTAACAATTTAAGATAGTCTTGCGTACATAATTGATCTGTAATGTACAGTTTAGATCTCTAATCTACAGATTACTCTAAAAGAACTATAAGATACTTTGTACTGTTATTAAGAAAATTTCTAAATTCTTTACTATATACTTTTTCGTATTAATTTTTAGGTCCCGGCGGCAGATCGTTAGTAGAAATTCAACAGATAAGCGGTGCAAGCATCCAAATATCAAAGAAAGGCATATTTGCCCCTGGTACCCGTAACCGTATCGTCACCATAACAGGAAATCCGCATTCCATCAATACTGCTCAATACCTAATCGAACAGCGCATAAGTGAAGAAGAAATAAAAAGGGCACGTAACAACGGCTTAGGACAACTCGCAATCCAGTGATCAATGCCCGAAGAGGGTGTTAGTATAAATAGTGTTACTATTTCATGTACAAACAACAGAAGTCCGCAGAATGAGGGTAAACCTATGGAAAAAGGACAATCTTGGTGCGAGGAGTAGGTTGTTTGGGTATTGGTCGGAACGTTAGGGCAATTTAAATGCTGGATATCTATTATTTCCATCTTATGTTACCTTAAAAACCTCTACTAGTTAATATATAAATCCTACTTTGAGAGGAGTTGATAGTTGACAGCTTACCAGTAGCTGTCAGTCTGTCTTTTTATCTATTAAAATACAGATATCTTCCAAATGAGATGATATAAGATTTCAGCTTATGAATTTAAATTGCCCTAATAATTGCCATTTTTGTTTAAAAATATATGTCTATTTTAATGGTAAAATTACCATTGTGTCTTGTTACCATACTATATAATTTGACTGGGTCTTTCGCGGGTGTTTTATTGTTGTGATATCGTTTCGTTTACACTCCAAACATCACCTGTTCCAAGCTTGAATCAATGTTAAATCTAAAATGTATGCCATAACCTAAAAAGACCCATCTATGTATATGTATTGTATTGTTTGTTTATGAACTGTACGTCGTACAGTATAATATACTTGTTTGTATTTTATTTTTTGAAAAATTGAAATATAAAATGTTATTGATATCTAAGTTTTACGTGTTTTAAGGAAATTTAAAGTTTATTTTTTCAAAGGACCAATTCTAAGTCAGTTTTGTTTATATGTATATTTTTGTTGGAATTGTTACTAAAAGAGTTTTATATTTTCTGCAAAGTTTAAACAAGCCAATCGTCAGGTGTAGCTTTTGAAACATTTTCGGAAGAAATTTAAAATTGGATTTAGGCCAGTCAGTTCCAGATAAGGGTTCACGTTAAATACTCTGTAATTATAGATAGGACTTTCAAATTTTTGGTGGAATATTTGGAACATCATCTTAGATTAAGATAGCTATATGGATTGTAAAGTCAATATAACTGTTTTTTTGCAAATTTTGGAATGGTTGTTACCGAGAAATATGACTTAAATATGATTTTGTTTTTAGTTTTTAATGAATAATTATTATATGTAGTCTTGAAACTCTCCGCCTACAAGAAAACTGTATACATATTATATTATTTATTTTATATCGCCAATATCGGCGTTTTATTTAATGCTAGCTTTCATCTTCGAGATGATAATATAATCAACCATCCAATATATGGGACATTGGAGGAAGAACAAATAAGACTTATGGGAGATAGTTAGACACGATATGTCTGTGGAGGGCATTAATATTGGTATAACCATATTGGTACATATTGAGAATAATCATTTTATGTCTTCAAAATATTTACAAAAACTCATGTCAAGTACCTCATGATGGCCCCACGTTGGGCGCCAATATGTAATATGAGATAAGTTTTCGAGTATCGAGAGATAAATTTGATAGTTTTAGTGAAAAAATCTTTCTTATAGGATCAGAGTTAATGAAATTCATGCAATCCTAAGCAAAACTCAAGTGACATTTTTTTATATAATTTGTGTTTGTTTTTATAATTTGCCATTTCTCCAAAATTAAAAAAAAAATGAGTTTTCCAATTTTTTGCAACTACTAACACCTAAAAGTACAAATTCAAAAAATATTTTTGTTATTAGTGCCTTTATCATCGATTAATAGTACATTACTACGATTAATGGGAGTTATCTTGACTTAATCAAATCCTATAGGCGTCTTATAAAGATGAATGTTTAAATTTGTTTCCGATGAAATGTTTCGGCGATTGGCTGCTAATTGTTACGAATCGATCTGATTTTCTACAGGTAGATTTAGAATTTTTAGAAATTTTAAATCGAAAATGTGATGAAATCATTCATATTGTCACTTCTGGTGTCTGTACCCATCATATTTTCCTTTTCCATGTTTCACATAGAGTATAATGTGTATATAATTTTATCTATTTTTTAACATTCGATCATATTTACTAACACTAAAAAACATTTTAGGCCGATAAGCTAGTAATGCTGCGTTGAAATTGATTCAATATACAATTATTGCTATATGTTAACCAAACTAAACCTAAAAGGATAATCCTGTTACAATATTCTTGAATTATACGCCTATTTATTTTTGTAAATTTTTCTTAACGCAGTGTTACCAGCTTATTATATACTAATTTTAGATAGTTATTAATAATTTTAGTAGACTAGGCAATCTGGGTTGGGTGTTTTATTTCCTATTTCGTAACTTAGGGTACATGGTACAAATCTTAGTTTAAGGGAAACATCTTTCTCGCGAAAAATAACTTAAACGGTACCTTAAATGTTTTTGAGATGTTATTCTCACGGGAATGCTGAGTTATCACTGATTGTTGACATCACATATTACGTTTACAAGATTTTTCTCTTTACTCAGGTTTAGTTTGGTGATTGCCTATTTTAGTTAGTTACAACAATGTTTTTTCTATATTGTGATTGGTAATTATTGGAGAAGGCATACATAAAGGTTATTAAGATACAAGTTTTCATTTCGTACAGGTAAGGAATAAAGGATATGCGCCCAAATCTTGTAGTATATTCACAACCAAGAAAAAGTGCGCAAAATGCGTGAACTGCGATATCATATTATATTCAACGGCACATTCATTTGCCAAAATCGTAAAATATCGGTAGAAAAATTAGGAATCAAGACGTACCTCACTTCTGTAACCTAAGGTCAGGATCTGTTCAGGTCTATTAGATCCACTACTTCTTGACCGTAAATAGTTTACAGACTTGTATGTATTAATTGTTTACTTTGTATTAATTTAATTGGTAGTTTACAACAAATGTGATGTATATTGTAAATAAAAAAGACAGTGACGCTGGAATATTCGGAATCGTATAGAAATATTACACTTCATTCTCTTGACTTAAATTTAGCAAAACAAAATGTCAATTTATGAAAAGTACGGTATGTATGTGCAAAAAGCAGAGAAAACACTTAAAGAGATGAAAATTTGTAAAAATATTGTGTAAAACATGTCTGTCTTCTTCGTTATTGAATTTCCAAAATGTGTACCTGCATGAAACCTCATAATACTTATATTTTTGCTCGAGATAGCTGGCTGGCCAGATCTCTTCAAATGCAAGAAGGTAGTTCTAACTTGCAAGAAATCGCACATTCTAAATACAGATTGTAAGTATACTAAATTTTTAAATGTGGTTAATTTTATATCGTTTTCCAAAATACGGTTTTAAATAACTTAATCGTCCAAAAAAGAACGGCTATGTTATCGACTACCATGTTCTTAGAGGATTATATGACTAAGGTACCATTTGTTTAAAATTTAAATGGACTCCCTGGGAACTTCATAATCGAGATATCGACTGCAATCGATTGTGTCTACGTAAGATTTCTGAAAGCTTCGTTTTCACAGTTTTCGATTTGATTATATTTATAAATCACTTAACAAAAAATATTTAGCACGGGTATAGGATCTGGATAAAGCTAAATATTGTATAAAATACTGATTGCACCAAAATAACTTTTCGTAAAGCGTTATATGACCGAAATAAATATTAATAAAACATGTCTGTCCTAGTTTCGTCTGAATGTCCGTCCGGAGATTAGTTCAGCCAATACTGCAACAGATACAGAAAAAATAGTAACAGATTGGGATACAACAATAAAAATAATGTTAGGAAAATTTTAAACTGACATATTTTACTTCTGGTTTATAAAACATCTGGAAAAGACACATTAGTCAAATAATAGTCAAGAAATAGCATGCACGGAGAAAATACGGTGTAGTGCTTTCCTTATTTACTTACAAAAATAACTATGCACAGCAGTGTATCGCTAGAACATATGGATACATTTTTTAACTATATACAAGGAATCGGTAAAGGACAATAATTGTATCATCGCTCCCTATAGTACGAAAAACTTGTTCCATTACATGTCAGATTGAATTATACTTGTAGGAACATTAATATTCGGTATTTTGTTGTTTTTATTAATTAAATTGTGATTTGGACTGCTAACTAAACCAGATAGTTACCTTGGTTTTGGAAATATGGTAGTACTACTGTAAAACATCTAAGTATGAAAATATATAGCAATATATACAAGAAGTTCAACACTGAAAAGAATTTGCGATTTCAAGCAGTTGTTACCAATCATGAATTTTATTAAAAAAGGGATTTAAAGAAATAAAAAGGGCATAATACATAATATAGTGTACATAGTCATTAGAAAATTAGTCATCTACTTCACTTCTAACGTTACATACTTCTCATAGATCTTTATCATAACTAATTATATAAAATATTATAATCTATACAAAGATAAATGTGACTCAAATCATATATTGTTGTTATAGCATGTTGTTAATATTGTTAATGTTTGGATACACATCTCACCCGAAATATTTTAACTTGGCTGTCTAATATTTAACATTTTTAATCGTACAACCTAGTAAAATAAGTTTTTACTAATTTATTATATAATCGGTAGGTACATTTGGATACCAGTATTTGAGGCACTCCATTTTAAAGTTGACTACTCCATTTTTAAACTGTAACCATGAGAATCCTATTGGATTTTTATTTAAAAATTACAGTAATAGAGTTTTAAGCATCGCTTTCTTTTCAGGCATCGACATAAGTCTCATTTATTTGATTTTTCTCATCTGGCTGGTTCTTATTTTTGGTGAATTCACTAATTCACTCCAGTTACTTTTAGATATACTTTTTCACCGTTTCTTCAGTGACGCAAGTTATTTTTCTGTCAATCAATCGATAGTCACGCATGATAAGCTTGACACTTCTTAATAACACTGTATTTAACACGGTAATTATTTTGAAACTTATCAATTACACATAACGTTCAAATACAACTAAACGAATTTTTACTCTATCACTGTTACAGCTCACAATGGACCGCAGGAGTGTGACGTCACGACTGTCACATTGTCATTATTACTTTCCAAACAAAAGTTGAAATGTCAAAACTCAAGACTTTTTAATATCTATAAAGTTAACATTTTGCTTCCTCTGCTGCTTTTTCTTGTAAGCATAGTATTTTTTACGATAATTCTGAGTTCTATTTCTATGAAATATAGTTTAAAAAGTTTAAATTAAAGAAATACTAACCTTACTTTATTGATACATGCATTTTATAGCTATTAGCATAAAACAATGTGCTTTATTATTTACACAACCTTGTAAAATTGTTGTTAGTAACTATTAGAATACTTAAATATTGCAAAAAGCGGAAAGATTCTATAAAATAAATGAAAAAAATAACTAAAAACACAAATTATCCACACTAAACAAGGTTTGTTTGGAAAGTGAAACTGACAGATGTCAATAAAATCTACGTCATCACTCCTGTGGTCCATTACACATTATTTCTTATAACAGTCCATATTTTAAGCCATTGCTACGGCTAACAGCAGACGTTTGTATTAATACATTAGTAGAAAACCCTAATTAAAAAAGTTCAAAAAATATTTACTATTATAATAATTCTAAACATCCAAAATGAATGAAGTTAGTTTTGAAGTGGACCGCCTCTAGTGCAAACATTTAAATAATTATTTCAGCGACTTAATTATTTGAGATTTCTTCGCAGCTTAAAAATAAAGATTATAAATGTTATAGTTTTAGTAACTGAAACGCAAAAAGTGC